CTAAAAATGTTTTTTATTAAAATGTTTTTACTAAAATGTTTTTAAAAGTTTTTACAGAGAAGCCAAAACCCAACCAGAAAACTGAATATTTAACAAACATGAAGCAAACTTCTCTAAAATTTTAATCATTTTTTGCATCTTTTATAAATTTCCAGGTTTTAAGGCGTCAAAAAACGAAGTCATTTTGTAAAAACAGGATTATAAATAAAGACAAAGTAATGATTTAATTTAAGGTTGTTTAGGTTTGAAATAAACAGGTTATTTTTTGTTTATTCATTTATAAAGTCAACTGAATTCATTTGTTTTATACAAATATGAGAAACTAAAATAAGTTGACATATTTAAAAAAAGAAATTTTCTCGGACAGAATCCCAATTTTTGTTCAGTCGAAGACAAAAAATGTCTGTTTTCATTTTAAAGGTTGCGGACCCCTGACCCGATTAAGCTGTGTGTGTGTGTCTGTGTGTTTGGTGGAAGTGGTTTATTGCAAACAGCTTTCACCAGAGAGTCTCCAAATGTCTCCAAACGTTCTCATTTTTCAGTCTTGAAGTTAGATTTTTGAACATGTTCAGAAAAGTTGTGCGACCGTTCTTCTCAGAGTAGTCGAAGTCGTCATTGAGTCCGTCTCAGATCCAGTGAAGTCCAGCAGATTAAAGTTACTCAATGCAAAGTAGAAACGCTGGAACAAGAAGTTTACTCCAGTATTTCTCCAGATATCTTTCCGCGTATAGTGGTGGGCACAGCTAACCAAAACGTTGGCTTCATTAACCACTAACGTTTTGGTTAGCTGTTAATGAAGCTAACATTTTGGTTAGCTGTGCCCACCAAAACGTTAGCTTCGTTAACCGCTAACGTTTTGGTTAGCTGTTAATGAAGCTAACGTTTTGGTGTGCACAGCTAACCAACCGCTAAATTGCTAAACAAAAATCAGCTCCGCTAACGCTAAACCGCTAAACAAATAAAAACATTAGTGGATGCTAATGCTAAGCACTAACTTGACTGTCAGTCTTCATCTCCTTCCTGTTGATGACTGGTGGTAGCGACACAAACCTGTTTAGTTTTCTATTTTATTCATTTGAAAGTGGGCGGGATCATCTGTGGCTAATCGGCCAATCCAAACCAGAGTTATTGCTCCAATTTCTAAAACTTCCTATTTACTCCTTTCAGAATAAAAGCATTTCTTTGACTGAGTTTGCATTTTTATAAATACTGTTTGAAGTTAGGCAAATAGCAAATACTTTATGTACCATATTTTAAACAGTCAGTTTTTGTAATGTTATTCAAATATTATATTTTTGATGCTCTTAGTTTGACTTTTAGCTGCTAAAGATGCTACATGCTAACACACAATGTAGCTGATGCATCAAGCACTTCTTGTAAGAGGGGGCAGTTTTTATTTAATGGCTTCAAAGAAGAAGTTTTACACTTTTTTAAGTAAACATAAAATTGGGAGAGTTTAATTTAACAGAAGCTAATCGGTCCGCCAAAGTTAGCCCAAAAATAAAAAGCTAATCCACTGAATGAGAAGCTAGTTCTGCTATTAGCGTGTTAGCAGAACTGTGCCCACCACTGGAGACAACGGTCATAATGAATAATTGGGTGGAGGTGAAGTGCCATAAAAACGTAGCTTAGCTTTAAACACATAAAACATCTTCTAACCCTTAAACCTCAACCTAACTTTTTATACCAACACTGAACTTAAAACACGTCCCGACACCTGTTGGACTTCTCCGTCGTCCGGAAACTTTGCTCACAAATTTTCAATCCAAGAAGTTTCATGACTTTGCGGTGAGTAGCTTTAAATCATAAACATGGCGTGCCCAGGTGGGCAACAAAATAATGTGCGCAGCCGAAAATACAGTTCTGAAGCCGTGTACGTGAAACATGGCCGTTGAAGACGCGGCCGCACGGTTCACCGGTCGCTGAAATAAACACTCAGAACTCAGACTGCAAAAGAAAATTCATACATCTTGTAATAACTGCGAGTCTCCAGCCGGGCCCACCCCGGTGACAGCCCACCTTCAGTAGCGGTGCTCTCCTCGGGTGATGTGAGAAGAGAACTCGTATCGATCCTGACTCCGGTGGCCGCAGAGGTTGCACTCGAAGGGGTCTCTGAAGCCGTGGCAGCCCATGTGGATGGTGTACATGACGTGGTCCAGGAAGAGCACGCGGCAGTGTTCGCAGCGGTACGCCCTCACCTGCTCCCCGTCCGACGTCACCACCTTGAACCCCTCGGAGGCCATCTCCATGCTGGCCCGGAGGGCGTCGTACTGCCGCTGCTGCTCCTCCTTCACCAGAGGCAGCACGCCGTTCCGCACGCCCGACGTGATGTGGTTGGTCAGGTAGATGAGGCCGGCGGCCGCCGCGCCTGGCCGGTCCTCGTTGTTGCTCTCGGTGTCCGTGGAGTCCTGGCCGCTGTGGCTGGGCGAGCCGTCCTTCTCGCTGGAGGCGGACTTGGAGTTGGAGAGCAGCAGCAGGTTCTCGGCCGCACTGTCTTTGGCTGATAAGCTGGCTCCGGAGTGGCTCTCCGTCACCGGCTTGTGGAGGGGGTACATGGAGGTCAGGCCCACGTCGGTGGAGGAGGCCGGCGAGGTTTGAACCAGAGGCCGGAGCGATTCAGCCCCCAGGTAGCTGATGGCGCTGTTGATGGCCTGGTCGATCACGTGGGGCTGAATCAGCTCTCCAGAACCTCCGTCGTAAGACAGATCCGACAGACGTTTGTCTCCTGACGGGATAAAGACAAACAGACGTTACTGAAAAGCTCCAACTTTTACCTGCTTTCAGTTCTCTTCATATTCAGCCTAGCTAAATTTAAAACTGTCTTTACTTTTGTGTTTTCATCTGTTATTTAAGGGTGTAACGGTACAAATAAGCCACAGTTCAGAAAAACAAAAGAAAAGCCAAACTCTAGTTATTTCCATTTCTTTAAAAATAAACTCTCAAAAACAAAGTGACCCGTATCTCTAAGGTAGCAGGTTTGCACAACAGTGGTGCACATGTTTCTGCTTATCAGCTAATATATGAAAATAATGTTTCATTTAGCAGATTAGCCTTTTCACTGACTTTGAAAACTGCTAGCGAAACAATTAGCTTCCACTAAATTAGAAAACTTTATATTTGTTAACAGCAAACTAACAAGTTCCAGCTGAAAGGAGACAAGTGAATAACAGTTGTTTTAGTGGTTAGCAATTAGCTGTTGGTGTTAGCTTCTGCTAAATTAGGTTTTGCTAACTTTAAGTCAGCTAACAGCTAACTAACAAACTAATATCAACAGGTTTCTGTCAGTCCCACCAGTCTTCAGTGGAAGGAGACRGACGTGTGGCACAGCCTGAGTGAAAGTCGTCTTAGTGATTAGCGATTAGCTGTGAATGTTGGCWTCCGTTAAAATAGGTTTTGCTAATTTTGGGCTGCTAACAGCTAACTAAAAAGCAAACAGTTTTGTGTCAGTCCTACTAGTTTTCAGCTTGAAGGAGACGATTTAGTAACAGTTGTCTTAGTGGTTCGCAATTAGCTGTTAGCTTCTGTTTAATTAGTATTGCTAACTTTAAGCCAGCTAATGACTAACTAACAAACTAATATCAACAGGTTTGTGTCAGTCCTACCAGTCTTCAGCTGGAAGGAGACAAATGTGTGTGACGCAGACTGACTGCCATCTTAGCAGTTGGCGATTTGTTGTTAGTGTTCGCTTCCGCTAAATTAGGTTTTGTCATGTTTAAGTTAGCAAACAAGCTAACATCAACAGGTTTGTGTCAGTCCCACCATTTTCCAGCTGAAAGAAGATGACTGAGTGGCTGTTGTCTTAGTGGTTAGCTTATTGTTAGTGCTAATTCTTACTTGTTTAGTGAAGCTATGTTTTTAGTTAGCTGTGGCCACCACTGATGTACAACATGGAGGTTTTCAAATGGTAATAAAACAATACAGTATATTAAACTGCAGCGTTCGCCTGCTTCAGACAGTATTCTACAAGTTAAATGAACTCAAAGGTTTGTTTTTGTTTGTTCAGAAATTAGTACAAAAAGTGACGTTTGGTTCAGTTAGTTTAAACTTGATGTTAATAAACACAACCAAGTATCATCCGCAAAGTATTTAACAGAGTGGTGGACGCTTCAAAGTTTGACCCTTTTGGCTTTCCATACATTCACTTTTCGCTGGAAACTTTTCATTGAAACGAGTTCTTGCTTTGTTTTGATGCAGAGTGCTTTATAAAGCATTTCCTCCACTCTTTTACTGTCAGGTTAGTAAGATACTAATTTAAAAAACTATGTGTTTTAGATGAGTTGTACAACAAAATAATAGGGCCATTCAGAGAACCAAAAAAAAAAAAAAAAAAGGAAGTAAAAACAAAATTTCCCGAAAATCTTTTTTTTTTTTTTCCCTTTTTTTTTTTTTTAGAAACGATGCAATAAAGACAAAACCTCAGACTGGTTCAAATAAAATACTTAAATTGTACTTAATTTGGTAAAAGTACAAACATAACCCTCATACTGGACCAAGAACAAATACTGTGTACCGTTACACCCTTATGTCAGTACACCTGCTCTGATACTGATGTTTTTACTTGCTGTTTTAATATGAAATTTTTATAATCTTACAACGATTTTAATCTTGTTGGTAAATAAAAGTATAGAAATAAAAAACTTGCAGCCATGTTTTAAATGATTCACTCTGCAGAGCGGAGGCAGTAAAATAAACATTATTTCAGTTTCAGCTGTGTTTTCAGAGCATTTACAAGTTTTTAGGAACATTTGATTGAAAATAAAGGAAAGCAGATTTCAGCCCTTACCCACAAACTTCTGTGGCATAGTGCTCTTACGTTTAGCTACATTATTAGCTAGTCTGTCTAGCACCAGGGCTCTGTCAGATCCCGGCTGGTTTAAGTCTTCCCTCTGATCATTCTGGTTGCTTTCTTCCTTTACTACTGGAAAGAAAGACAGAAGAAGATTTTAGCATCAATTAAATTTGATTTGTTCCTTTTTTTTCCCAAGTGGCTTTTTAATCCACAGAGCGGACGGTTCTGGGTCTTAAAGCAACGTTTGCTCATGCATCCAGGTGTTTCATCACCTGGAGGAGAATGAAATCTCCTAACTGAGCCTTGAAATAATGATGACTCTGCAGTTCTGCACTGGCAGGACGTCGGAGCTGATGCAGGTGACTCACCTGTGTAGATGCTGTTCTGCAGACCCATGCACTGCAGGTAGTTGTGACACCTCTCCTTGTGCTCCTCCAGAGARCTGCGCTGCTTGTAGCTCCGCCCACAGTATGCACACTTGTGGGGCTTTCCAACTGGAACACAAACAAACAAACATAAAGCAGGCGAAGCAGGAAGTTTAAAATCTGTGATGTTATAACTTTAACTTCAAATCACTGCTGGTTTTATAAAGTTACACACCAGAAGTGCTACAGCTAGAAGCTGCTGCTATTAGCTCCTGTTGCTAACCTTGTGTTTTACTGATGTCTGTGATTTAAAGGTTTATAAAATTTAGCAAATTAAAGTTATTTTAGCTGTTTTTCAGTACTTTTATACTTCAACTAATTTTATCATAAGTTTATGGTTCAAAGATCTACAGCAGGTAAGATACTGATTATTAATAAGTTTTATTCACTTAACAATTTTAACACAAACCAATCCATGTTTTAGCAGTTTCTGATTGTTTATCTTCTGTTTATTTAATAACTAAAAGTAAGGATTAAATTACTGATTAATAAAATGTTTTAAATTCAGTCACATTTTTAATCTTTTTGTTAAAATTTCACGTTGAGATTRAAACGTTAAAAGTTCAGAGCTGCTGTTTCTGTCCACTGTTCACTAAAACAAACTGCTGAAAAACATTCAAATAAAAAGTCACATCAGATCTGCAGCATCGACACGTCTCTGTGTGTCCCCCCCGCTCCACCTGGCTGTCCTCCAGTCAGCGCCGAGTGTCTCACCTGAGTGTGTGCGCAGGTGTCCGGTGAGGGCGTCCCTCCTGCGGCAGGCGTAGCTGCACAGGTGACACTTGAAGGGTTTCTCTCCTGAGTGGAGCTTGATGTGACGCAGCAGGTTGCCCTTCTGGGTGAACGAGGCGCCGCACTGGCTGCACTGGAACGGACGCTCACCTGTCAGAACCAGCAGACGYGTCAAACACACACCTGCAGACACTGAAACTGGATTTATTCCTGATTCACCCTAACCTGCAGGAACATAGACCCTGCACGCTGTAAAAAAATTGCATTTTATTCCTGATTTATTTAAACCTGCTGGAATTAAGAGTCTGTACATGCTGTAAAAAAACTGATTTTATTAATTTAAACCTGCAGGAACATAGACTATGCACGCTGTAAAACATAAAAATAAAAAAACAACCTGATTTTATAAATTGAAACCTGCAGGAACTAAGACTCTGCATGCTGTAAAAACAAAACAAAACTGATTTTATTAATTTAAACCTGCAGGAACATAGACTATGCACACTGTAAAAGATAAACTGGGTTTTAGCTGTTTATATCAAAACATTTGATAGATGCATGAATTTTCTGCAGCAGAATAATAGGAAGTAATAATAATGCAGACAAATGAAGCGTCTCACTTATAAACAAACAAAAACTCATCAGGCACAAAGCAGAAATTTCCAGAAGCTATTCCGAGGACATAAATATGATTTTCATGACATAAATGTTGGATAATTCTGCTAGTTTTCTGAAGATGAGATAAAGAAATTACGTTGAGATAAATTATTTCTTAAAGTTTATGATAAAATAAAATTTTTTGTATTTTTTGCGTTTGTCCCACGGGCCGTCAGTCACTCTAACCTCTTTAAATTCATATTCAAACCAGGAGTAAAAGTGTTTGAGAGGTCTGAGAGTTACCGCAGGTTGAAGTGTTTTGTTTACATTCAGTGCGTACCTGCGTTTCCCAGCCCTGCAGTGAACTCAATCTGCTGCGTTTGTTGGAGTTTGTGCTCGGATCTGTCGGATCCTGCTGACATCAGAGCGGTGGCGGGGTCGGCGGCCTGAACGAGCCGGATGATGGAGCGATCCGGCAGCCGGGGGGGGTGAGGGGGGTCGTTCTCTGCAGACTGACACCCCCCGTCTCCCCCCGTCTCCTCCCGCTCCCCCACTGAACCCATGGAGCCCCGGCTCTCTGATCGAACACGAGCCTCTCAGACTCAGGCTGCCAGCTCCGTAATGCACCAGCGCTTAGGTCAATTTGATCTCAAATTCTCATTTTTTCCCTCCTCTCCGTCTCTTAAATAAGCGCCGCGGCGCCATGCAAATTCTGCCTCATTTGAATAAAGTGAAGAAAACACTTTGTGTTGAGAGCCAGTCTTCCTGATCAGCGCCTCTGGAATCAACCAATATCGAGCCTCTCGGCGTGTTGTGGCATTCTGTGAGAACCTTTTAATGTGTTTTTTTTTTTTTTTTAGTGGTGAAAGGCCCACCGTAAAATCAGAGTCACCGGTGAAGCAGCAAAAATATATCAAAAGGGAAATTCATTAAAAATGCATTTCGGGAGCAAAAAAGACTTACCTCTGAATATTTTTCTCTTTAAGTGGGAGGCATTTCATTACGTCTTTTATTCTTTCTTTTTGCATTTACATTAATGTGCCGTTCCTTTCTTCCATTTTCAGTTTCATTAGTCTCTTAAGCTCGAAGGTTCCCCACCACTGGTTTGGCTCTGTCACAATAGAATATCAATTTTGAATTTTGAAAAACTTTTAATAGCCAGATAATTGTCACTTTGTAGAGAGATCCCCTCCTCGACTGAAGCGGTTATCCTGTTTATTAACCCGCAGACGAGACGCTTTTTGGACAAAGTTTGTTTCTGCAACTTTTTTTTTTCACGATAACTGATGGAGTTATTAAAAGGAAACTAATGAATGCTGATGCTTCGAGCTGATTTCATGCACCGCAGGAGAGGCTGAGCGTGCCGCTAACGCCGTCTGTTTAAAGGATTTTAATGTTTAACCTGTGTGTGTGTGTCTGTTAGCAAAATATCTCCTGAACCATGCACTGGAGTTTAACGAAACCTACAGGGAATTATCACTGGATGTACATCTACAGCTGATTAACTTTAGTTATCAACCGGATTCAAGATGGCCGCCACAGCCGAGAAAATTTAAAAACCACAAAAGTGTCCTAAAGTCAGCCTCAACTACCGAAAATAACCTGAAAACGGGTGTGGTAGTAGCTGAGACTGATCCTGAACAATTCTTCTGAACTGGAACTATTTGGAGTTTGTCTGTTAGCAAAATATCTCCTGAACCACAGGCTGGATTTTAACGAAACCTTCAGGGAAATATCACCGGACGCACATCTGCAGCTGATTAACTTTTATTTTCAAACTGATTCAAGATGGCCGCCACAGCCAAGAAAATTTAAAAACCACAAGTGTCCTAAAATCAGCCTCATCTAAAAAAAAAAACCTGAATACAGGTGTGGTAGTAGCTGAGACTGATCCTAAACACACATACTGAACTGGAAGTATTTGGAGTTTATAGGGTTTGTCTGTTAGCAAAATATCACCTGAACCACGGGCTGGATTTTAACGAAACCTGCAGGGAATTATCACCGGACGTACATCTGCAGCTGATTAATTTTTATTGTCAAACTGATTCAAGATGGCCGCCACAGCCAAGAAAATTTAAAAACCATAAAAGTGTCTTAAAGACAGAAAATAACCTGAAAACAGGCGTGGTAGTAGCTGAGACTGATCCTGAACACTATTCCTGAACTGGAACTATTTGGAGTTTGTCTGTTAGCAAAATATCTCCTGAACCATTGGATGGCTGTGCTTCAACTCATTACATTTTAGCGGGCGACATGAAGGTTTGTTTTTTTTGCCAAAACAAAGTGGAATGAATGATGTGAAGGAGCGTTGCAGACGGCTTACCGGTGTGGCTGCGCTTGTGCACCATCAACACATTGGGGCCAATGCAAACTATCCCGCAGATATCGCACTTGAGCTTCCCGTTGGGCAGCCGGATCCCGCCAGCCGAGGAGAAGGCCTTAGCTTCAGGGCTCGGCTGGGAGCCGTCGGCCTGGGCCCCCGAGGAGTCCACCACGCGCAAGTCTTCCGCGCACTCCTCCTCCACGCCATTCATGTGACAGGCCAGCCCACTCTCCTCATCACTGCGAGCCTCAACTTTAATGTTACAGGCTGGAAAAGAGGGGGGAAGGGAGGGGCCACGGTTTAGAACACCAGCATGGTTCTGTCATCAAGTCAAGTTTTAAAAGATGCCTAATTTATACAAATAGTCAAGCAGATGTGGAGCATTTTGCCACTGGGGTTCTATAGAAAGGCTATAAACAATATCTTACCTGCTGTAGATAGCTCTGTACCTCCGTTAGACAGTTTAATTATGACAGGACTGATGAGCTAAYGGCTAGTCTCAAAAAAATGAGTTAATAAACCTTTGACACCAAAATCAATTTCATATTTCATGGTTATAATATAAAACTCTGTGGTTACTTTCTGCAGCAGCATCTAGCTGTAGCACTTCAGCTTCTGCCTTGAGGTTTGTTTTTCTTTAAGAGTGTCATAAAATGACCAAAATAAATGTGTAATGCAAGAATTATCGCCTTTTACTACTCTACTATCTTTCACTTCTGTCTACTACTAGCAAGTATTCATAGTTGGCTAGTAATGTGTAGCTTATGTACCTTAATACTAGCTAACAGTGGACAGCACAGCTGACTAAAACGTTAGCCTTGCTAACAAATATTCTGTTAACTAAAAATATAGCTTTGCTAAAATTGGTGGAAACTAACAGCTAATAGCTATTATTGCTGCCAGTCTGCCTAACACATCTTCATCTCCTTTGAGCTGAGGACTGTTGGGATGATGTTAGCTTATTATTTAGCTTTTAGCAAACATAAAATTGCCTAAACTTAATTTAATGGAAGCAAACACCAAACAAATAAAMATTAGCGGAAGCTAATTAAACAAGTACAAATAAATGGAAGCTAATTGCTAACCACTAATATAACTGTCACTCAGTCTGCGTCACGTCTTCGTCCCCTTCAAGCTAAAGACTGGTGGGACCGAAACAAACCTGTTGATGTTAGCTTGTTAGCTGTTAGCTAATCTTATCTGCATGTCTAAGCAGTACTAGCTAGCCGTAATAGGTACCGTTTAGTACATAGCTTATCTACTGTGCTGCTGGTTATTTAAACCTGAAWACTGACATTTAAGTGTTTACATTGTGAAATTTAAATGTGGAAGTGCTACAWCTAGCTGCTGCTGCTGTGTGTGCTTGCAGGGAACCACAGCAAAGAACCTTATTAAATAAATTCAGTGTAGATGTTAATAAAGCAGCCTTTAAAAGAAATTGCTGTTAAACTTTGTAGATTGGAGTTGTTCTGAGCTGCAGCAGCAAAACTCAGGGAAGTCAGAGCTATCTGCAACAGGTAAGATATTTATTGCTCGTATTTCCACAGAACCTCAMTTCAAACTATCCAAAATATCCCTTTAATGCATGAGAATGAACGAATGTTTTGATCCAAACACTGAATTGTAGCCTTTTTATTGACTCTAAAAATAAATATTATTTTTAAGAATTTTATTAAATTATTTTTTATTGCTATGAAAAGGTTTAAATGGGGGATAATGTTTTTTTTAACTGTTATTTTTAGGCATCAAAATGTAGTTTTTAATTTCAAACTTTATTTTTAATTCCCTTTCAGTTTTCCACCTTTATTTTGTAGTAAATAAAACCGTTTTTAGCTTTTAAAATTAAAGATCAATGTTAGTCATTTGTGCTAAAATAGTGTCTAAATCTGAATAATCTTATTAAATAAACTGATGCTTTGTTTAATTCTCTAAACAACAAAATATGACAAAGGTTATCTCAGTTAAAAGGAAACTGACATTTAAGAATCTAAAATAGGAAAAAGATTAAGATCTAAATGTTAAGACGAGTGAAAATATWGTGAAGTCTTGACGCTGGCAGCAGGGGGAGGAAAACACCGAGCACCTTCCTCATGTTTGTGACACTTTAAAAACTGCATCAAGTCTTATTTTGGACTTTATTCTTKAACGAGTCCGGCTCAGAACGAGGTCGTTTCTCCGAGCCAGCGCTCGGCCACACGTGGAGGCTCGCGGGGCTCGGGTGGCGTGTGTGTGTGTGTGTGGCGTCTCAGCGTGGAGATGAAGAAACACGTCGATCATCTCACACCATCACACTTCAGTGAAACGAGCGACGGCACGATAAACAGGAAACAGAGATACAGGAAGCAGAGTGAAACTAGGGGCGAGCGCCATTTATCAGAGAGCAAACAATCGYACGGCCTCCTCTACGCTCACAGAACGTACTCAGTTTTTATCACACTCATTTTAATTCCATGCACTCGTGTCAGACGATGGACGATTCCCACCAGAGAGTTTAAAAAAGCATTTCAGAGAACAGGGCTGGTGCAGCTGCCAACCTGCGGTTTGCACGTCTYTGCAGCCTGATTTCCACACGCCTCTGCCTCTGTTTGTACAACCGAAGAGGAAGAAGTGGAAATCATGAAATATAGGAATCTATGGAAAAGGGGAAGCTTCAGAAAGTGGGCCTGTCTAACTGAAATACCAAGAATTATGGAGAAGTGACAGAAAGGGAAGCATGGGAAAGGAATTGTAAAACAGTATGTAACTGAAACTTTTTTTTTAACTAAGCGGCACAAAGAAGGCAGGAGGTGAAGTGAAATGTGTTGGACCATGATCAGATTTTTATTTTATTAATTTTAATTCAATATTCAGTTAATTTTAAGTTAATTCAGTTTTATATTTATTTAGTTTCTTTTTGCAAAACACTAAACGCTATAAATTAGCTTCCTGAAATACTAAACATGACAGTTAACGTGATTATCTGTCAAGAAAAGAGGATTTTAACACAAATCTCATGTTGTGCTTTTAGTTCCTCCATTAGATGGGCCGTGACCAAACCTTTCAGATAAACTAACATTCTCTACATGAAAAGATAAAAAAAATGCATATCTAGGGCTGCAACAATACCACTATTAGTAGTTGCACAACTGACTAAATTAACAGGATTCACAATATTAGTCGACAAGCTAAAGGCTAGCCTGCAMAAATCCTCAATTTTATTTAACTAACCAAGTAGTTGAGGTTAATGGTTATTAAATGGTTATTAAAAGCCTGAATTTTGCCTGAAACTCTCAGACTGAAGAAGTCTCTTGGAGGAGAGACGAAACGTTTCATTAGAGAAGAACCCGTCCAGAAGACCTATACATTTTTTTTCTTTTTGAAGTTAATGTTGTATTTGCTTTAACCCAGTAAAAACTGTTTGAAACAGTTGTTTTAAGATGGCAGCAAGGATTAATTTTAAATAAAGTACTTTATTTGTAATAGGAAGCTAGTAGCACACGGTTCTTCTTAGCGCTTTAGCCTCGGCTTGAAATCGATTTAAAATCAACTTTCTTAGACCGAATATTTGAAAAATTAGGTCGTCGATCGCAAGAATGTGTCCTTGTGAGTAGGGCTGCCACGATTAATCGACGACTATTCGATTATTAAAATAATCGACTAATTTAATAATCGATTAATCGTTTTCTTTTTTTGTTCTTTACTTTGATTTTCTCTCCAAACTGCTTTGACACCTTCCACTGCCACATCTGCCTTTCTGTCCTTGACACACATGCACAGTAGTGGTAACTGGGGTAGGCCGTGGACGTCACAAGACATTATACAGACAGGCTCTGGTATCATGGCTACCTGACAACAGAGCTCAAAAGTGTGGGATCTTTTAAAGAAAATAAAAGAGAAATCTGTGTAATATCTGCAGAGCAGAACTTGCCTTCCACAGCAATTATTTTTAGTTAGCATATAGCTAAAATCTAACCATGGTTATATGATAGCAGCTGCATTCTGACGTGATAAGCTGTATGTTTTATATTCAATTAATGTATGATCCGATTAGTCGACTAATCGAATAAAAAATCTGTGATTTTAATCTATCATTAAAATAATCGTTTTTGGCAGCCCTACTTGTGAGACAAATGGGTTGGTTGAAGCACGTGTCTGCACGTTTATTAGATAGGGTGTTGTGAATTGTTTTGTGTCCTGAGCTGTACGTACCTCTTCCAGTCATCCTACATAGCTTAACTGCTGTACCTCTAGGTAACAACTACTGTTAGCTAGATAGTAATAGTACTAGTAGTACTATCTAWTTACAACTACTAGTTATTTAGGAAAAATGTAGTTTATTTAGCTAGTCAGTGTGTTAGTGTTAGCATGTTAGTCTTATTGGCTACTATACTACAAGCTAACAACTACTGCTAGTTAGTAGAAGTAGTTAGCTTAACTATTGTACTTCTGGCTAACAGCTACAGTTAACTAGATCGTACTAGCTAGTAGTAATAGTTGCCTAACTAAATAGCCTAACTACTGTGCTACTAGCTATTAGCAGTAGCTTGTACTCATAGCTAGCAGTACCATACTGTTAGCTAGTAGCAGTAGTTAGCTTAACTACTAGCTAGCAAGTATTTGCTACCTAGCTATTAACATGGCTATAGTGTAGTATGAGTAGTAGTAAGCTAGTTCTGCATAGCTAGTAGTAAGCTAACTACAGCTAGCTGGGTTGTATTTGTTAGCCAGTTAGCACAGGCTTTTAGTTTTAGTTTATTTTGGTGTTTCTGATGTAATCATGAACCTGTTATGTTATATTGAAATGTTTTTTGTTTTTTTGATCCCGTAATTTTACTACTTGTTTTACAACAAACTGTTTCAGTTTCTTTAATTACTTTAAAAAACTTTTTTTGTTTGTCTCTTACTCTCTAAGCAAGAATTGTTCTTGGATTAATAGTAATTATTATCAATTATAATATAGCTATTATAAATTGTAGATTTTAAAATAAATTTGCAGATTTGTTAGAATTTAGAGTAAATGAAAAATGAAAAAGAATTAGTTGCAAACTTGCAAACATCTTTTCAGAAAACTTAAGTTGCACACTTTGTGAAACACAAACCTCTCAGAAAAACCACCAAACCTTTTTTTCAGTCAGGAGTTATGACGACAGAGTTTGTGCAAGCTTGAGGAATATTTTGAAGGTTTTTTATTTTATTTATTTTTTGTTTATTTGCATGTGATAAAGCTCAAAAGCATAATTTATCAGGTAGTTGGACTACTTTAAACCTCAACATTCATGTTTTATAAATAAGGTAAAGAATCATAAAAATGCATCAAAAAGTCCTGATTTTGGCAGATTTTTATGTCTCTGAACTAAATGTTTGTTTCAGTCAGAAGGTTCAGGTTTCAGGTTCTGACCCTGTAGGAGTGCACAGATAGGAACTCTGAGCGCCGGGCCGACACCCAGCTCTCATGGATTTGAGGAAGTTGTGACTAAACTGGGAAAGGGAAGAAAGTTTTTTATTTTATGTCATGTTTGTCATGATCACACATCCTGATTTATCCGTTTTGGGAAGCAAGTGTTGAACAATAAAAGGGTCAAAAGCCCGAGGCAGATCTGATGCTCAGATTACAGATTAACGGACGCCGCTGCAGAAAGAGAGGAGAGCGAGCTGATAGAGCTCGACAGCAGCCGAAGCTCGGGCTGCAGACGTGTTATTTCTGCAGCGTGGACACGCTGGAGTTCGCGGGAAGTTGCCGTTTCTGCCAGAGCACTTCTCTCACAGCCTGAAAATAACCCTCTGTGCAAGGTAGTGGAACCACAAGTGTCAAACCACGCCAGCAACACATTCAGCACAACTTGCAGGAACACTAAAAACAGACAACTTTTCCCCTCACACATCAACCAGCAAAAAAAATAAATAAATAAATAACTTGCAGCCATGTTTTCAGGAACTACACAGCTCTGTCGTGTGTCTGAAATAGAAAAAGGTTCTGTCTGAATCACGGAAAGCGAAAGAGAAATGTTTTCACTGTGGCGGCCTTCTGCCTCCATCCCGACAAGCCTCCTTGATTTTCACCGTGTTAGCTGAGCGCCCTGCAGCGCTGCCGAAACGCAGCTGAAAATCTGCAGAAACAGCTGAAAATCTACAGAAACGCCACTGAAACAGCTGAAATTATGCAGAAATGCAGCAGAAGCCGCTGAAAATCTGCAGAAACAGCTGAAAATCTACAGAAACGCCACTGAAACAGCTGAAATTATGCAGAAATGCAGCAGAAGCCGCTGAAAATCTGCAGAAACAGCTGAAATTCTGCAGAAATGCAGCAGAAACAGCTGAAAATCTGCAGAAACAGCTGAAAATCTACAGAAACGCCACTGAAACAGCTGAAATTATGCAGAAATGCAGCAGAAGCCGCTGAAAATCTGCAGAAACAGCTGAAATTCTGCAGAAATGCAGCAGAAACAGCTGAAATTATGCAGAAACAGCTGAAAATCTGCAGAAACAGCTGAAAATCTACAGAAACGCCACTGAAACAGCTGAAATTATGCAGAAACCGCTGAAAATCTGCAGAAACAGCTGAAATTATGCAGAAACAGCTGAAAATTTGCAGAAACCGCTGAAAATCTGCAGAAACAGCTGAAATTATGCAGAAACAGCTGAAAATTTGCAGAAACCGCTGAAAATCTGCAGAAACAGCTGAA